CCCACTCACTCACGCACTTCGCACACACCACGTCCACCACTCCAACCCTTATGTGACTCCACCGTACACACCGCCATCGCAGCACACACCCCCACCCCAGGCACCCACCTCCCAGCCGGAGTTTCCACCTCCGCCGCCGCCACCCCTGCCCACGGCCGAACCTGTCACTCCACCACCATCGACCTTCCAACACAGCCCACCGCCACCACCCACCACACGTGGCACCACAGCGCCTGCCCCACCGCCCCCACACATCCCATCTCCCACACCACCTGTTCCCGACTCCTGGAACCCAACCGAGCAACATTGGGACTCAAACACCCTGCACGGCCACCAACTACATCGTACAATTCAACCCACCCAGTGGTCTCGCAAAGCAGGAGTGGCCGGCCTCCCCACCTTTGAGGGCTTCCCGTGGCAATTGGCTTACCACGGTACCTCCGAGTTCACCGCCCGTACCCTGAGCAACGGCAAATTCACAGGTTTCATTGCCACCAGAAGCATAGCGGAGTCGGTCTTCGTGACCCTTTTTCTCCAACAACTCCGCGAGAACCGCCTTGACCTTGACGGCATAGCGGAGGCTCTCCACACACAACAGAGCACAGACGTTCCAAACAAAACTACCCATGCCCGAGCGTTCCACGCTCCCCTCATCAAACTGCTTATCGACCAACTGCAAACCCACTCCCCAGCACCTGCGGAAGGCTCCGCCCTACGCGCCCTCAAAAACACCAACGACGAACTGGCTCGGGCACGTCAGAAACTCCACGACCTCGGCAACCCGCTCACACCAGTCAAGAACACCGGCCGATCTTCTGCACCAGCCGCCCCTTCCCACGCACCCACACCACCACCACCGAAACCACCAGCCATCACCGACGTCTTGCAACCACCACACCCCACCCTGCAAGACGACATCCCCGAAGGCTGGAACTACCCAGATATCCAACAATGGGTCACTACCTTTGACCCCGCCATCCAAGAAGCTGCGAAGGAAGTCATCCGACTGCTGCAAACAAGCAAAGTCACCACGCAGCAGCTAAAAGAAGCAGCCACCAAGTATGGCCTACCCCTCAACCGAGTCAACCGACTCGGAATTCGCAGCCTACAACAGCTGGTGGGAGTCGGAGCAGCCATTGGTTGCTGACTCGCCATCGTGGCCCAGCAGCAACCCGGCCACACCAACCTCACCCAACTCTTCCACCTGCACCGCACACTTTCCATGCTCATCCACCGCACCCAATACATCGACCGCGCCGAGGCCATCTTTGCAACCGGCCTCATCCACATCACACTTCTTTTCGCATACCCGTCCAACACCCGTCGCTCACAACAATGGCGCAACCGCCTCCGCCAGCTCCACATTTTACCCCACACCTACCACTACCACAACTTCCTCTCTTCCAATTCCGTCTACATCAAGCTCCACTTCAATCCCGACCAACCCCAACGCTGCTACCATCAACATGGCCACTTCTACGTTGGCTCCACAGCTATCGGCATCCCCCACCGCGAGCACAATCGCCGCGCCAAACTCAAACAACTCCAGAACAACATTCCCATTTCTGCAGAACTCTCCCGACGTTATTGGCATTCACACAACAACATCCACCACTACACCACTATTCAACTCACCTCCCATGACACATACGACCAAGCCTGGATCCAAGAGCACCACTACATCGCCAACTGGATGCCTTCACTCAACTAGCCTTTCATTTCCCACCACCTCAAACTCAAAGCTCAGGGATGGCAGTTTGCGAAACACAGAGCCCACTTCTACTCCAGACTAGCCACCCACAAACGACTTTTCCGACGCCTTCGACAACGCCAGTACACCCTCAGAGAACCACACCTCTACACTTCCACTAAACATCACGCCCTCCAACTTCTTCGCAACCTTACCAAACACACCGCAGCCTCTTTTGAGGCAGCAAAACAGATAAGAAGCGGCCGCCACACGGACCTCGAGGTGTATGCAATCCGGCGTATGGCCGCAAATTTGGAAGAACCTGGCCGCAGCCGAGCTCTTCACATCCTCAACAAAGCCTTGATCTACCGCAACCTCACGCCACCAAAGCCAAACATCCCATTGACAGTGCCCTTCTTGGCCCATGACGACTTTACCAAGCACTGCCAACAATGGCTTCGTACCACCATCCAGCAGCACAAGCATTTCACCATTCCCCTCCATCTCCCCTCCCACAGACTGAGGGAAGCCGCCCACAAAACCCTCCGCTCCCACCTGCACAACCACCGCACATGGGAGGACACCCTCCACTCCCCGCCAGATCCAGCAGACCTCCCCTGTGCATGCGACCACCTTCGCACCCTCCTGCAGGATCCCGATACCCCTACCATCAATGGCCACTACATCCTTACACTTGACCAACTCCAACTCCCTACACACCTCAGCATTTTCCTCAACGCCAATATGAACAGCACCTATTACCCAAGCAAAGCTCGGTACTTCCTCATTTTCACGACGGCCTATACCAAATGGCTCAAACTACAGGGGCTTCCACCATCCCTAGTTCAACACCTACAGCCTTTCCTTGAGCACCAATGGCGCCTTCACAACACACACCTCAAGCAGCAACCCCGTTTTACGGCCCGCCTGCTTCGTCAACTCCAAGAACATTTGGGCAAACACACATTACTCCACCATGCCGACCATGAGCTCCAACAACTCCGGCTGTTTTGCCCTCGCCAATATTTCACTGGCGCCTTGAATACCTGGCAATCCCCGGAACTTTTCGAACCACTTCCCTACGTCACTGCCGCCAATATCCACGACCACCTGGCCGCCACTGTCCCCCCCATTTTGCGCGCTCGCTACAAGTGGGGCTTCCGAAAAGACTTCAACATTCCCTACGGCGTTGTCCACCTCAAGGAGAAGAAGCACTGGCAAAAAGGCCGTACAATTATTTCATACTTCCACTCACTCAGTGGCAACCTGCTTCGCATTACCAGCCGTGCCCTTGACATCATCCTCCAACACCTCTACCCTCAGCATCCCGGCCAAATGTCCATTCCCCAGCTTTGGCACCACTTTCACAGCTACCTCACCCAAACCCCACCAGACATCTCACTACACGCCACCAACGATGACCTGGTCGGCTTCTTCAACTCAGTCCCACAGTACCGACTCATCGAGGCAGTTCACTCCCTTGTTCTCCACTGGCAACAACAGCAATCCACACACACCTTGACGGTGGATGTCCAGGCCACCGGCAATCCGTTCCACCATTCCCACATTGGCAGACACCATCGCAAACACCCTACCCAACGCACCATCCAGACTTCCGACATCACCACCATTGTGACTTTTGCCCTCGACACATGCATTTTCCGGGCTTGCAACAACACTTACAAACAAATCCGAGGGGCCGGGATTGGATCCCAGCTCTCTCCAGCCCTATGCAATGTTGCCATCACCCTCATTGAGCATTCATGGCATCAGATCCACAACAACCTCCTTCAACACACAGACCTCCACTTTAATTACTATCGATATGTCGACAACCGCTTCATTGTCCACAACGAACATTTCCTCCAACACCCGGCTATCCAAACCCTCATCCACCACAATTTCTTTGGCGACCCTGTGGAACTTGAACCGGTGGAGGATTTTCATCTCCTCGGTTTCAACATCGACCTCCCACAACGCACTATCACCTACATGCAACCTTCTCAACCCTGGAAAATCCGGGATTCCACAACCGCCGGGAGCCAGCGCTTGGCTCTATCAGGCCTCCAATCACGACTCCACACCATTCGAAAATACACATTCCCACCCTCCAGCGCTGACGTTGCTGCGGCTGAACTCGTGAACCTATATGTCCAAAAGGGGCATAACTACCACGCCTGCCACCGGTTTTTGAAAAAAGCGCCGAATGCGGCGACCTGTGTGTGTCCCACCCTGGACAAAGGGTCTTACCCCACCACTCTTCCCATGTTACACAGGCAGGGGGGCAATGCACGACTGACAGACATTGCCCAACGAAGACGCTGTCAGCTCGTGGTGAAGCAATGCGGGACGCCGCATTGTGTACCTGCTCAATGAACTTTTGCACACGCTGTCCACTCTTTTGATTTGATTCATGGTGGTTCCACATGATACTTTCCCCACAAACAGGTTTCCCACTGCACTGCAGCTGCTGACCGCCGCCTCCACTTGTGCTTGTCGTGAAACCTGTGTTAAACAATACAATTTAAGCTGACCTTTCCACCTTGCCGTTCCATCGCCTTCCTTCCCATTGAGACAATTGCGTTAACTGAAAACCCAAGTTCGAAGTGTGTGTGCAGCTGTGCGCGATGCAAGTCTTCGTAACTTCATTGCGGTTTGACTTGTTGGGAATGTTGACTGGTTGTGCTGCCTGGCTAAATGCTTTGATTGAGTTGGGACGCCTCCCGAGGTGTCTCTTTGCGTACCATGTACAGGCAGCTATCGGACTCCGGACCATGTGTCATGATCGTAGAGGACCGACTCACATCGGCTGGGAGTCGTCAAGCGGTTATTGCAACTCAGCGACACCTTGCCTTATGAGAATTCTGCGTCACAGCTCGTTGCAGCAGGATTCCTCAAACAGCATCTTTGGGGCCTTTCTCAGCGAGGGTTTAAGGCTCACATCTCAAAGCAACAGCGCTCACATGGTGATAATCTGGCAGAAGAACGACAGGCATGTCGAATTTGTCCAGTTTCTGAAATACAGTATGCTTCTTTCAGCCCTGATTTTGAAGGAAGATTGCGGCAAGTCGGTGTCAAGCAAACCACGTGACGGTTTACGTGCAGTTTGAACATGACAGCGCACGTAGCTGCCGTAGTTGGATAGACCATTTGGCTCAAGAAGTCCCAGAGAGGCCCTGATGACTGCAGATCCTGGATGAACACCCTTGAGAGGCAATGATGTTTGATATATTTTTTGATACTCTTTATTCAGGGCAATGTTACTCTTAAGGTCGCTCACAGCATTTCTCTCCCCCAACGTGCTAAGAACGCCCCCAAAAAGGAAGGCAGCTTGCTTTGACGCACCGAGAAAGACTAGACGCACGTGGCTGGCTCCTGCACGCAGCACGGTTCTGCATGGCAGTCCTGCCGAGCGTCCGGGCATCTTCCGCCTCGCGGTTCCGGTCCTCGCGTGTCGTGGCTCCTGCCCGGCCGCGCCCGGCCAGGCGATCCAGAGACCAAAAGCATTGAAAAGCTCCTTCCAGTTTTGTTTTTTTTTGTGGTGGAGGCCATCGCTATTAGGTTTGAGGCCTTTTCGGAAGTCAAGCTAGACTGTTCGTGAGAGTAAAACTGCAAAGATCCTTGTTGCATGATGAGAGTTGCGAGTTGGGCATCTAGTGTGTTGGGACCGATGTTGGCTCACTGCCATTGCAGGCTCGTTCCATTTGCAGCGGGTTGTACAGTATTTGCTGTTGCCCTACATAGATTCGGCCGAAGTAGAGATTGCCGTGCGAACGGGCGACAAATGAGAAGCGTCGCAGTCCACGCTTTGCAGTCCATCCAGAAGGTTGCAAGCCAAACGGAACAGTCATGGCTTGAGCGGTTGACAGCCGATCCGGAGATGGAAGCGAATCAACCCAATCACAGCCCACGGCAAGTGACCTCGGGCCACTATGTGGAAGTGTTGCCAACACCGTTGCCCAGTCCGGAGTTAGTGATCTACTCACCGGAGGTGGCTGAGATGTTGGAAATTCCACCTGAAGAGATTGAATCAGAGGCTTTCAAGGCCTTCTTCTCTGGAGATCAATCACAGGTGCCCAATTTGAAGTCCTGGTGTACACCCTATGCTTTGGCCATCATGGGTCAACGCATGGTCTCTAACTGCCCCTTTGGCAACGGCAACGGCTACGGCGACGGCCGAGCCATCTCAGTGGGGGAGCTGCTCACTGCCAGCGGCCGCTATGAGATGCAACTCAAGGGCGCTGGTCGCACACCCTTCTGCCGAGGCGGCGGCAAAAAAGACACCCAAAAGAGACTGGACGGTCAGACTGGATGGAAGTGACTTCAGGATGGACATGAGGTGGTATCGGGTGCGACGGGTGTGATGAAGGCTGTTGTTGTAGTTTGTGCATGTTTGTGCTCATCCCACAAAGGAAACAGATGTGATTGATAGTTGATGTGATGTTCAATTTCGATGTTCCGGAATTTCCACAGGTGGTGATGGACGTGCTGTTTTGCGCTCTTCCGTGCGAGAGTTCTTGGCATCTGAAGCCATGCATCACTTGGGGGTCGAAACCACCAGAGCTTTGTGCTTGATTGTCTCTCATGGTGAAACAGCCAGGCAGGGAAGCAGCTTGAAAGTGTCATACTACCTGATGCGCGGGTTATCTCCATCACTTGTTTTTCACCAGGGTTTTCCATGAGTGTGTGTGTGTGTGTGCGTGTGCGCGCAATGTTTCCGAACTTGTGATGCTCATTCCATGCATCCTGCCTTGAGCTCACACGGGGCCTCCAGGCGAGCTTGGTATTCTGGCGCACCTGCCGGTGGAATGTTTGGCGGAAGCCGTGAGCCTGATACTGTGAATCGCCTGATCGTTGAGCCATGTTTTCTTGTGGCAGTACATCACATCGCTCGTAGGTTGGAGGCCATCGCTCTTAGGCTTCTGTTCTTCTCAGCTATACTATACGTCGTATACCTTGCCTGTCGTAAACCCCGCCCAGGTAATCGATGAGCCCTGTGCCATCTCCACCCGCGTCTCTCCGAGTTTCCTCCGGGTGGGTCATGTGGACCTCTTTGCTCGCCGGGCGGCCGGCAGCAGTGAGTCCATGGCAGAGCTGGAGCAGATCGTGGAACACGCACTCTTCAGGGAATATCCCCAAATCGCTGAGCGTCAGGAGCATGCTATGCATTTTTTTTAGGGTATCTACTTTGGTTTGTTTCCGTTGTTTAAGTGTGCACATTTGCTTAAAGCGTTTGGAAGACAAAATAACACGAGCCAATGACAGTCCGTCCAATGTCTCCATGTCCCTTAATCCACGGGGGCAGCGGGGGAGCGATCGGAATAAAACTGTTAGCAACGCAAAAATCCACAATCGACTGTGCCCACAACCATTTGCATTTGCTGGCTGAAGATACTGAAGCATACCTACTGTCACAAACTCTCCAAGCTCTCCAAGTGGTTCGCTTGGGCAAACTCTGAGGAGCCTCTAAAAGAGAAAGCCATTCTGATGCTCGAGGAGTTCCCAGAGCGCCTGGGACAGATGGTGGCAGGATGGTTGCGATGCGGCTTTTGTCAAGGGAACTTTAACTCTGACAATTGCTTGGTGGGTGGCCGTACCATGGACTATGGCCCCTTTGGATGGATTGATCGTTATAACCCACTCTTTGCAAAGTGGACTGGATCTGGAGAGCACTATGGCTTTCTGAACCAGCCGCAAGCTGCTATCGCCAACTTCCATACCTTGTTGACTTCAGCTGCTCGGAGATAAATACACAAACACACACTGGAGCCACTGGAGTCAAGCTCCAACTGAAGACGATCGTTTAACCAACCACACTTAAATGCTGTGACCAACAGTTTCTTGGATTTGCTTTTAGCGCATGGAAGGATCTTCGATCATAAGAAGATCTCTGATCATAGTAACGGTGGGAGCCGAGGTGGCTGTGCTGCTGGGTGATGAGGCTCAGCCCAAGGTGGTTGCCCTCATGGAGGCCGGTGCCCGGAAGATCCGCGCCGCCGCGCAGGACGCGTTCCGCGCGAAGCTGGGCTTTGAAGCGGAAGAGGCTGAAACGGCCCTGGAGCTTTGGAAGGACTTGGAGCCTTTGATGAGGACGGGTACAATGAACAAGGCAGAAGAACTGATTCGATCTTGGAAATCTGTCACTCCTAGTTATTCCCCTCTAATTTAGATTCATTTACATCTGGTACAGATGCCAAAGTGACCAAACCAGGGTGGGTTCGATTCGATCGTCAGTTAGTCGGTTCGGTTCCTTATTTAAAGAATTGGTTTCCTAGGAATTGGTTTCGATTCGAACCGATTCGGTTCGTGGTCCGGTTCGTTTCGTTTCGTTTCGTCGGAATCACACATCCTAAGAAACTTGACTCTAAGACACTCCAAACAGTTCACTGCAGGTTCAGACTGAACCCTTTCCAAGCAATGAAAGCAGACTGGCTTGATCCTATCTAATCCCCCTAGGATTGCACGGATTGAAGATTACGCGGTTATGGACTATTCTTTGGGATCTGCTCGGATTAGAGGTAATCTTCAATCCTGCAATCGTAGTGGGAAATGGAATCCAAAGGTGCTGGGATTGAAGTCTTGTAAGGCTTACAAGTGGTGATTATCTCTACAAGCTCCAAGGCCCTCAACGCATCTCAGCCCAAAGGCAAGGCTACGCCGGCTACGCTAGCACGAAAACTGGGCATGGCAGTCTAAATATGGCCAAACTCACCCGTGGTAGCGGTGGTGGAACGAAAACCGAGGTTGCAACGGCACGAACCCTTTTGGTGCTGGCGGCCACAAAGCTCCAAATTTGATCAAAATTTGGAGGTTGTCTGGCGGCGGGCGGTCGCAAAAGCTCCAAATTATTGAAATTTGGAGCTTTTTGGTGGCGGTCGCGGCGGTCGCAAAAGCTCCAAATTTCAATGAAATTTGGAGCATTTTGGCGGCGGCTCCAAAAGCGCCAAATTTCAATGAAATTTGGAGCTTTTGGGTGAGAGCTTTTTAGCTGTAAGAGAAACTCAATCGCAGCATTCTGTGGCCTAATGGATAAGGATTTGATTTTCGGATGCGAAGGGCGTGGCTTCAATTCCTTGTCGTACCTTCGTGGTGTTTTTTGGTGACAAAAGGACCCAAGCATCGACCAGAAGTCTTGGCGCCGGTGGTGGCAGATTTCATCGTGTGAGTGAGTTTAGCCAATTTTTAATTTTTCCAGGCAGGCTCACGGTCCAAGGGTATCGTGGCCATCCAGGCTTAAGGTCCAAGGTGCAGGGTCGGCGGTCAGCTACATCCTCCTGCCGGGCCTGGAGCCCCAGCCTTTGAAGAGAGAACGTGAGCAACAAACTGCACCATCAAACGCTGTCCTTGACCTTTGATACAAAATTTTCGAAACAAAGGTTCCATGCCATGCCTAGTGCACTGGAGTACTAGTCGCTGCCAGTCTCTAACTCTCTCCGGCTCCGCTTTGACACGGGCTGTGAGGCCATGATTTTGGGGTGGACCCGTCGGCTCGTCGGACTCGTTGAGAAGTGAGGTTGAGTTGAGAGGTTCAATGAAGGGTTTTGGTTGTGAAGTGGGAGAGTTGTGAGACCACCGTGGTTGCCTAGCACGTGGGCTCATCCAGCGTTGGTTCACGGTCCGCGGTCCGTGGTCCGGCGGCGTGGCAGTGTCGAAGGAGACATCGTCACGACATGGCTCTCCAAAGGCAGACGCTGGAGCACCTGCTGACCCGGCAGCCGCGTTGCCGAGCTTGGTGAAGATGGCACCTGAGATCTTGAAGCTGCGCTCTGAGGATGTGCGTGCTCATTGCCTGCCCCTTGACATGGTCTTGTCTGCTTTACTCTATTTCTTCATCTCAGAGTTGTGGGTGTTTCCCTCCAAATCCGCTCTAGACTCTAGGCTCTATTATATTGATGCGCCGTTGTATTTTCCAGCTGGTCCCATACCAGCCGAGGGCGATCCGATCCGCCCCAGAGTTCATGAACACGCGGTACGACCCATCGGAGACCTACACATGGGCATTTGCTGGCTTCGACCTTTTGACTTCCGGCTTCTGGCCACAAGGTCACAGGACCGAAGTGTCGATCAACCAGCTATGTGCTAGCTCCTTGGCAAATTTTTGTGCCTCCTCTATCCTCCTCTTACTTTTTGTTTTGGCGGGACTTGCAACATTTTCCTTCTAGTGACGACCTCCCTGCTGGGACTCGGGCCTGCTTCGCCAATCTGCTTCAGGCTTCTCCCGCTTGGATGAACTTGGTGCTGGAGGTGGGGGATCTCTTGTCGAAGATCCGCGCAAGGGTCCAGGTGCCACAGAAGTTCCAGGTCGAAGCTTGGCTGGATTTCATTCAGTGTTACTTCATGTTAGTTCACTTGGCCTTCGGCTATATGCTTTTTTGGGGGTTGTTGGTGTTGTTAGGGGACAGTGATCCTTTTTCGTCCGCCTTGAAATGAACTGAGTTGTCCTGCGCTGTTCGCGAGCTCTTGGACCAGTTCGTGCCCGCCGGAGAGCACAGGTTGTTCCATGTGCTGCTCCATCCATACACCTTGCACGCTTTGGCCCATGGATGCCAGCTGAGCCTGAATGCTCCTCAGCTTGTGCTTAGTTGAAACACATGCAGACGAACAGGACAAAGCAGGACAACCATGCATGGAAGGAAGCACGTGGACATCAGCAGAAAGTGAAACGACGCGCACGGTCAATGCAACATCAACTCAACGCAACATCACAAATGAGGAAGGGGAGCACAAGCAGGAGAGCAGGGACTACACAAGGAAAACCACAGCAGCGAATAAGAAGATCAAGAACAAGAACAACAAACAAAACTTTTGTTTGCTTAGTTGTTTATTTCGTTAGTGTTTTTGTCTTCTTTGTGTTGTTTGAATTGTTTTCTTTGTTTTTCTTTGTGTTGCGGTTGGCCTGATGTTGTTTGTTTGTTTGTTTTGGCTATGTTTGTTTGTTTTGTGTTTTCTTTGTTTGTTTGTTCGTTTGCTCGCCTTCTGTTTGTTATTTTTTTGTGTGTGCTTCTTGGTATGTTTTGCTTTCTGCTGGTTTGCCATCTTGCTTGGTGGTCACCTGTGCCCATTGCGCATGAGGCCGATGACCCCCATTGGTCGAGTTGGCCATTGCCATACACATCTGCTGGAGAGCTTGCAGATGTGGGGGTCTACTGTCGCGATTGCTGCCGCTCTGCAAGGGGGTTCGTGGAGAGCGCGCAGTTGACGCGGCATGGCCCTCGAGCACTGCCCATGGCAGCGCAAGCATCTCAGATGCGGACCTTGGAAGAGAGGACAGTGGCTGACGCCTCCAATGGGATTGTTTTCATCTCTGTTCACGGGCTTCATTGTTGGCTTGAAAATAGTTGAAGCTAAATCAATTTCATGTAAAGGTGGAAGGGTTGATGCTTTTGGACCAGGTAGATGGTCGTAGCCCAGATGGTGGTTCATATGGACAGGTCTTTCCTGCCAGGTGTGGCAATGGCAGGGCATGTGCCATCAAAGTGTATCGAAAGCGAGATGGGTCAGACGATGCCACGCGTGAAGTGGCCATGTACCACAAACTTGGCCAGCTGACTCAGTCCCAGCAACGGTGGTTCCCAGAGATGCTCAATGCCGATGTGAATGGCGTGCCCTTTCCATGGGTTGCGCTGTCTTTTGAGGGGGCTAGCTTGGTTGAGTGCCAATGGTGCGTTTCCAGACCTTGCATGGCCAGGCTGGCTTGCTTCACTTGGACATCAAGCCAGGGAATATCGATCGCAAAAGCTCCACATTTCATCGAAATTTGGAGCCTTTTGGTGAGCGTTTTTTTGTGGGTGGGTGGTGGTGGTGGTGGTGGTGGTGGTGGTGGTGGTGGTGACAAAAACGCATCAAATGTCGGCCACGCATTTTGGCTGCCTTTGTTCCTGCTTCGGTCACATCACGGGTTGTGCCTTGAATCCCACTTCGATTCATGGTTCGATTCGAGCGGTTCGTTTCGGTGGCGACTCGGCAGCGGTTCGGTTCCTTGTTGGTAGCGTTTCCGATTCCTGATTCGATTTGGAACATTCCTGCCAAACAAATCAATAAATCAATCGTTTCGACGCCGTGCCTGCCCAGCTGGAAGTATGGCAAGACCTTTTTGCTGATTAGACGCAGCGCAGGAAGTCAGATATTGACTATACAATCTTTTGGAGGCAGCTTGCTGCAGTTCTTGAATGTGCAGACCAGCCCTCAGTTGCCAAAGCACGGTCGACAAGACTTGACCTGGTAAATGCAACGGTGAGTTCTGTAAGAGAGAAGCAGTACCTGTAGGAGAGCGACCAACTCCAGCAGATAGAGCCGGCGTTTTACAAGGCTGGATGGTTTTGCAGTTCAGGATATCCAAAATAGGGATAAACACTATGACGCTACTATAGGGGCTCCTGGCATCGCTACTCGGAGCAAGGACGCTACTAGGGGCTCCTGGCCGTACTACTAGCAACAAGAAGCTATTAGAAACAAGAAAAGAGTATCCTAGACTTTCGAGCACGCATTGGTCGATGTCACATTGGTGGCGAAGGCTCCATCGAAGGAGCTGGCTGAAGAATGGCAAGCTTGGCTGCAGAGATGGGCTGACACTGTGGGAGACGCCCAGGAAGTCACTGCACGGCTCAGGGCGGTGAATCCGAAGTATGTGCCCAGGGAATGGATGCTGGCCGAAGCATATGACAAGGCCTTGTTGGTGATGTTTGACCGGAAATCCGTCCATTGACATGCAAAATTTGTTTGTCCACTTCAAAGGTACACTCCTGATATTCACATCTTTAAGGCCTCAAAAACAGTACCTATCCAGTACCTATACTCTTTTAAGGGCGAAGGCTATGACTTCTGCGGCCGAAGTCGTCTTTACAGGCTGCCCAGGGCGACTACAGCTTGGTCTCCGAGTTGCTGGAGCTCTTTCGCCACCCCTACGACGAGCAACCGGCCTTCGAGGCGAAGTACTTCAGCCGAGGGCCCGAGGAGAAAGTGAACCAAGGCGGCATCGCTTATATGACCTGATCTTCATAGGCCAGTGACCCGTTTTTTGGTGGTCACTGGCTTGATCTGGCTTGCCAGAGTCTCCAAAATCTGCCCACATTGGCCACATGGAGGTGGTGCTTGTGACTCCTTGATACAGATACTGTAGACTGTAGATAATCTGCTATCTTAGATGATAAGGTACAGTTTGCTTGTATGTGTGCGATCATTTGCATTTGGGAGCATCTAACTTTCAGAATGCTTCAAGAATGGGGGCCAATGGGGGCAGATTTTGCTGAGATGATGTCACCTTCATAGACTGGAGCTGATGACGCATAGCCCGCGCCCACAGCAGGGTTCTGCTGAGTGCCCGCAGTCAAGAAGGTATTGCGGATCCACAATCCTCAAGTGTGGCCATCCATTTTGTGCCAGTAATAAATCTATTAAGAGATGAGGTTGCTGTTAGGTTCTCTTCAAGGAAAATTGCAGAATATCAGTATCTAACTCGCACGTTTATATTAGCAATATCAATCATGTCAATTCAATGTATTTGTGTGTGTGTGTGTGTGCCGGCAACCAATGCGGCCAAACGCTGGAGGGCTTGTGCACCGTGTCTTGATGTTCACAGCTGCGCCTTGTCTCCTTACCATGTCCAGCATGGTTGTTTTCCGCAGATTCTAGACACGTCTTGTGAGCTGTTGCCGCTCAAACCCCGCAATGTGCGACAAAAATTGTGCTGACATTCTTGAGGTAAGGAAGCCTTTAATCACGAAAAGTGGGTGAACAATTGTCTCCCAATCTGAACAAGTACGAAGTCATACAAAGATTCCAAGATATTCCAAGGCATTCAAGGCATAGACTTCTTGGTACTATTCTGTTGCTTCAAACGCGTGGTCAACCCGGCTCAAGCAGGGTTTGCACAGACATCGGAGTCAAGATGTGTGCCTCACGTGAGGCCTGTAAGCCAATGCTACGGCACCCACGAGTGCTTTGTTTTCAGGAGAAAGAAACGAACAACTCCAAGAACAGTCCGACCAAGAACAAGGCTGACAAGTTCTTATCCAATGACAATGAAGTGTTTGAACACTTGAAGAGATTTAACTTCGCATCAATGGTATCAATCGTAGCTTCTGGATTCAAGAAAGGGCTTCTGAAAAAAAAGACTCAAAGGCTTTCAGAAGTCAATTTGAAAAGGCGTTTTTTAAGGCTTTGGGAACGTTCCTGCAGCATACATGTTGGTAGGACCCCACGCACCGCTGGTGCTTGGCGTACTGAGGCAAGTTCGGCGGAACTCACATCATTGTCATCCTGGTTGTCGTCAAGAAAAAATCAATATCATAATCCTGATACCTCATGATGATATATGTGTGGACCAGCCGAAGCCCTCGCGCAAGCTGACAGGTTTACGGGCGGAGTGTCCCGACAACCTCCCCGCAGAACGATGAGGACTGCCGTGGATAGAAGCACTGTGTCTTGAACGTGCCAACATGTCTGTAGTATTAGAATAAACCATAATGAACCTGGGAACCAAATGAATAGTGTGAGCGCTTCTTAAAGGAAGCTCCCCCCGCCACCAAAACATCTCTTTGGTATTCAGGGACTCGAGGTTCAGAGCTCCAGACTGCTGTGTTCGAGACTGCTGTGGGACCACACTGTGGGAGACATAAGTAACAGTCATGTAGAAATCTTTGCGGAGGCTTCTGCCCCGAAAAAGTCTGTGCCTTAGAGAATAGAGGCTGTCGCCAGCGCCAACTTTAGGGGCAAGGACGCTACTAGGGGCTCCTGGCCTTACTACTAGTAACAAGAAGCTACTAGGGGCTCCTGGCATCGCTACGAACGGAGCAAGGACGCTACTAGGGGCTGTCGGAAGGTGCCGCGTTTCCACTCGATTGATTCGGAATGAGCGCTTCTATCGCTGCGAACAAAGCGGTGTCATCCGTTTCCGTACGGAAGAATCTGAACCTATGCAATCAAAGCCTTTCGCCAAAACAATTTTACTTCAACAAAGTGTCCCTGCGCAGGAATTTGCAAGTGAAAGATCAACAAACTACTAGCAACACCTGAATACTCTCCTTGAATACTGTACCTTGATCAATCTTAATAAGATTTTGAAAGTCTTTTTGACGCAAGCTTGTGAAAGACCAAAATCAAAGTCCTTGGTCCTTGGTCCCAGTTTGAGATCCTGAATGTACTGCACCCAGGGAGGCAGATCCTTCATCGTCCTCAGGGTTCAGCGGTGAGTGCTTCGGCTGCAGAGCCCCAATGGGTTCAAAGAGATTCACAAGTTGGGAATTGTGGAGTGAGTCTTTTTCTTAGCCCGCTCCTACTTGATTAAGTATAGGCGCCTACTTATATAAATAAGCAGTAAGGGAGACTAATTCGCTACCAGGAACATGTTCCCTCCTAGCTAGGACGGATAGCGGATAGCTCTCCCGCTTGAAGGAAGCTTCAGGGCGCCGGGGAGAAGTTCTTGAAGAAGCGCTCGCACTGTCTAAATTTGCTTCCAGAATAATTTTTAGGGAAACTGATAGCGATGGCCTCCACCCTAAGAGCGATGGCCTCCAACCTATGAGCGATTTGCTTCCTAGCTGTTGAGGGAAACTTGAGTAGCCAGTTCCTTTGGTGAGCCTCTACCACTTTGTTCCCTAATTCACTTAAGGACATTTAACTTAATGAATTTGCAGTGTCTCTCCACGGGATATCGGAGACGTCGAGAGACCCATGACTTTGACCTGCTCCCGGCTCCCGCCCGCGCACATTGTGTGTCGCACACATGCGCACACGCACATACGGCGCGCACGCATATACACGTGCACGCATTGATGGCGAATGAATGTAATTGTCTTAGTAAATTGTCTTATATAGCTTGACCTTCTTCCATTGGCATCGCTACTAGGGTGGAGGCCATCGTTACTAGGTTGGATGTGCTTGTTGCATTTGAGTTTACGAATTCAGGAAAGCAAAGTACTTCGAGGCCAAGAAAGTCCGTGGTCGTCAGACTGACACGTTTGCTTTTCTGCCATTTCTGCCAAGATTGACAGGCTTTGCGGAAAGCTCAAGTGGCGGACTTGGGGAGCTACACAAATCCTGGCTGGACTTGGTGACGTGATAGCGCTTAATTTGTTTGGTTTTGTCAAGGCACCAGCTTCTTCAGCCTCTGTGTTCTGCAACCACATGGCGGCTGACTTAGATGTTGAGCGACCTGGTGGGAACTGTACTAGAGTTACTAGACGCTACGATTACAACCGCATGACACCGTCCAAGGGCATCGTGGTGGGCATCGATGGGCCGGCCCTTTTCATTGACCAGGACCGCTGAGCTGAAACTGTCGGAAAAAGCTTGTGGCACCAGGAAACTGCTCAACCCCCTCCCTACTTAATTAAGTAGGCGCCTACTTAATTGAGTAGGGGAGGAATTCGCTACTAACTACTTAAGCTACTACTTAGGACGCAGGATAGCCCACGCTAATGATTTGGTGTCTAGATTTTCAGGGAAACTTAAGCTACTTTGGTTGAACCGCATGATATCCAAAGAATATCGAAGAACAATATGGTCGAGTCTAGTTCTGAAATCAAGTATATAATTTGCAACAATATGCAACAACCATTGTAAATTTAGGTATCATACTCTAGTATAAAATTTGATACAGTAGTATCAGTATTGCTTTTGGCCATCAATGCAGAAATTGTATGAACTTTTCCAGTTTGCCGCTGGCTGTCACAATTTATCTTGGAGCATACTTATCCAGTGTTCTTCACAGGAAAAATATTGACGAAGAACATCAGTGTATGAACAAACAGCAGGACCTTTTGCGTGGTGTGTCCTGGCCATCCGTTGGCTTTGGCTCGCCATCCCTGTGCACCGTGCGGGACTCGAGAAATTCCCCCTCGGCACCTTTTGCAAGAAATTCAAAGTCGAATATAATTTTGCATGATTGTGCTCTGGTCATTTTAGTGTTATAGATTCCAAAATTGCTGAAATGTGTACTGAGGCCTTATATCATACTATAGTTATATAGTTCTTAGCCGGTTTCGGACGATTTACGATAAACCTGGATGTATCCTCGAGAAAACCAACTGAGTGCATGGAAGCGAATTGGCAGGCCACAGAACAACAGCCCTTGTCATTAGAAACTTGGAGAGTGGGCAGACTGCCCCTCTTCCAGACTGGGCAGACTGATAGGATTGTGTGAGGGGCAAGGACGCTACTAGGGGCTCCTGGCCTTCCTACTAGGAACAAGAAGCTACTGGGGGCTCCTGGCATCGCTACGAACGGAGCAAAAATAGGATTGGAAAAAATCCTCCGGTCGGGTGTGTCCAGCGTGGCCGTCGCCCAGGCAGGAACGGATTTTGTGGTGCGGAACATAGAGGTGCGAAAAAACGCGGTCTCTCAGGAAGATGAGTCGAGTGAGTGATGTGTCGAGTGGGCAAAATCCAGACTTCTTGAGTTTGTGGTGTCCATTTTGTGGCTCCATCATTTGGCTTGGAACAAAGGGCATCGCTACTAGGAGCAAGGACGCTACTAGGGGCTCCTGGCCTTACTCCTGGCAACATGAAGCTACTAGGAGCAAAGGGCATCGCTACTAGGAGCAAGGACTCTGCGAAAAGCACATGATTTGTCATCAGGTTTGGCATTGGAGCTCGTGAATCGACGGCCTTGGACAGAAGGTAGCGGAATAGGATACATCATCTATAGTTGTTTGTTTTTTTCTGATGCAACACGCACCCTCGCAAGTGCTTGCATGCTCAAACTCCAAATGCAATCTGATGCAAGTACAGTACATCAGTTGACTAGCGATCGCACCCTTTCTTGACAATTTGAACTCAATCCTGCACCATCACTATTTTGTGAGATGCTTTCTTGTTGCATTCGAAGCTACCTTCGGTCCAACCATTCATGGGGTCGCTGGCAAATATGCCGATGTGCTTCCACCGCCACTTCCATAGCGAAGTGATCAAGAGAAATGAAGACTCTACTGCGGTGTTTTCCAAATGGTGGTGATTATATGTGATTATGACAGAAAGCTTTTTAGAATTATTTCAGATTGATTTCTCATAGGGTGGAGGCCATCGCTATTTCTTTATTTCATATTACTTCTCATCACATGGAAAACACCAGGCCTTCAGACCTGTGGACCGGAAAGTGTACCAC